TGTATTGTTGTTTAATGATCAAAAAACGTGAATAAAAATTCGTTCATGAAAATTGGTTATTGAGTGTTTTTTTGTAAATAATCATTTTTTGTATGAACAATTACAGTTAGAGGTTCGAGGTTATTAACTTTAACTGAAATTAAAAATGTTTTTTGAATTTAATAAAAATGTTATAAAGATGGTCAAACATAATTACGTTTTGTAAATTTTTGTAGCATTACAAATTTGAATAAAAGTGGTAAAACAAAAAAATTTAAAATCAGGGTCGGCCAAGATCCAGTTTTTAAACAACTTCGTGGCAATCTCTAATACGTGTCAGTTCATTTTTGGTTTTAGCATATTGTTAACAAAAAAACGTAAAAAGTTTTTTAGAGTTAAATTGTTTTTAAAAATTGGTAAAACTATAGTTAACTATTTAAACCAAATTTTTGTATTGTATAAATCATCATTACAATGTTTTATAATCCGGTTTTAAAGAACAACAATTGAACAGTAACAATCATGTGAAATTTTAGAATGCAAAGTTTTTAAAATTAAATAACAATATTCACTCATTATAATTATCGTATATACAGAAGATATACAATAAAAATAATAATTATTAAAAATAATTTTAGTGATTTCAACTTAAAATTTTTATTAAAACAATTAATAATATTTTTCAACATTTACATCTATTTTAATTGATTATGTATATATGAATATTTGTCAGTTTAACAGAGGTTTTGAATAGTTCATTCATGTCCTTTTTAAATTAAACAACCAAATAGAAATAATTTTATTATCTTTTGCAATAATACAAAACAAACAATGTATTATTTTTCGAATGGAGTAGACCATATTACTTTCGAAACAGTTAAAACTTATTTTTAGTTTATTTTCTTGTTAAAAACTATTATTCATAATACGATAATAATCAGTCAAAATAATAATTATCACCCAAATAAAAAATACAAATATCAGAGCAACTTTAAATTAGTTTTATTTACATGTATAATTTACGATTGAATGGTTTTGGTGTACAATTATATTTACACGAATATATATGTTTATTGTTGTATTTTAAAGTAATTTAAAAAAATTCGTGTTTAATATAAATTATCGTTTTATATTTTTTCATTTTATCTTTTGGTATAAATAATCGTGTTTTGTCATTTATTTTTTGTTTTTCAAAAATGATAATGTTATTTACCATTTTAATGTTTTTTTAGTTTTTTTCTATAACATGATCGTTTGGCCGACCCTGTTTAAAATACAATAAACTTTAAATGATATTTTAAAAACATGTTGTTTAAATAAAATAATAAATAATTCCCAAAAATGTTTATTTAATATACACAATGTTTAAAATATATTCATGACAAAATTAACAAAATCATAATTTCCAAACTTTGCAAACCAAAATCAGATGGTATATATTTCACAAATAATTCATTTTAAATTAAACAAGAATGATTATTAAATTCAAAAATATATAAAAAATATTATAATTTATTGATTTTTTAAATTTTATAAATACCATGATAAAACAAAATGTGAAAAATAATCAAAATATAAGATTGAATAAAAAATGCCAATTATTATTTAAAATGGTATGTTAATTATTCGAACATTTTTGTAATAAAATATAATAGTTGACCATTAGATTATTAAATTTTTGAATATGCACATGTTTATATGTACTTCTTTCAAATACATGTACTCAAAATCATGTGAATTTTTTAAATAACATGTATATTATAAAGCCATATTTATATGTCACAATACTTTTTTAAAAAAGAGTGATACATACAATTTTTGTGTTTCAAAGATGTCAATTTAAGCACAAAACGAGATGATATTTGTATACTTATAAATAACAATCAAAAACAAAAATTTGTTTGAATTGTAGTTTGAAAATACATATACAAATTTAAATAATATTTTTAAATTGTAAATGCTAAAAACAATGAAAAATATAGTGGTTCATTAATGCGATTGGGTGTTATTTCGCCCCCATATTTTTTCACCCTTTATTTTTTCACCCCCACTTTTCATTTTTATTTCAATAAACAATTGAAATTTTGTAATTTTAATTGAAATTGTTTTTCGTTTTTATAAGAATGTTCTGTGTATTATTTATAGTAAAATTTTAAATTAAAATGAAAAAATAGCGTGTTTGATTACTTAAGTTGAAAATAGCATTATATAAAAACGATTATTGCAAAAGAACGAGAAAACGTAACAAA